CTGATGGGGACACATGAGGTAAGGGGACATTCTTATGGGGACACCTGATGTATGGGGGCACTCTGATGGGGACACATGATATAGGGAGACACTCTGATGGGGACACCTCATATAAGGAGACACTTGGATGGGGACACAGATGTAAGGGGACATTCTGACGGGGACACCGGATGTAAGGGGACATTCTGATGAGGACACCAGATGTACAGGGGCACTCTGATGGGGACACCTGATATAAGGAGACATTCTAATGGGGACACTTGATGTAAGCAGACACTCTAATGGAGATACTTGATGTAAGGGGGCACACTGATGGGGACACCTGCTGTCATTTGCAAGTTGAAGATCCCCAAGGCAGATGCACCCTATAAACTCTCCACTGTGATGGGGACACCTGACTTAATGAACAAGAGATCCCTGTGCTCAAATCCATACAGCTAGTGCATGCATTTATCCATCAGGTGCTAAAGGGGTGTAACCACATTAACTCTAGAAATTCTGAAGGACCCTCTGCACACTGGTATATACCCTTTCAAGCAAACTATGCAACAAATAGGGATATTTGGTTCACACATATTGCAATACATGTTTAAGCTGGCCAACTGCCTCAAAGTAATCCCTCTATGGCCAGTCCTACTCTGCCCTGCCTACGCAAGTGCTACTGTGGACACAATGCCAACATAGGGGAAAAGACACAATGGGGAGAGCTACAAGGTTCAGGTCTGGCTACTGACCCAACAATACAACAAACAAGAGATCCCTGTGCTCAAATCCATGCATGCACTAGCTGTATGGATTTGAGCACAGGGATCTCTTGTTTGTTGTATTGTTGGGTCAGTAGCCAGACCTGAACCTTGTAGCTCTCCCCATTGTGTCTTTTCCCCTATGTTGGCATTGTGTCCACAGTAGCACTTGCGTAGGCAGGGCAGAGTAGGACTGGCCATAGAGGGATTACTTTGAGGCAGTTGGCCAGCTTAAACATGTATTGCAATATGTGTGAACCAAATATCCCTATTTGTTGCATAGTTTGCTTGAAAGGGTATATACCAGTGTGCAGAGGGTCCTTCAGAATACCTTACTTAATGAGACACACTGATGGAGATACTTGATGTAAGGCGGCACTCTCATGGGGACACCTTATGTAAGGGGAAACTCTAATAGAGACGCTTAATGTAATGGGACACCTAATGTAATTTGGCACTCTGATGGGGACACATGATGTAAGGATACATTCTGATGGGGATACCTGATGTATGGGGGCACTCTGATGGGGACACCTGATATAAGGAGACACTCTAATGGGGACGCCCAATGTAAGGAGACACTCTGATGGAGATTCTTGATGTAAGGGGGCACACTGATGTGGACACCTTATGTAAGGGGACAATCTGATAGCGGCACTTGATGTAATGGGACACCCAATGTAAGGGGCCACTCTGATAAGGACACCCGATGTAAGGAGACATTCTGATGGGGACACCCGATGTAAGGAGACACTCTGGTGGGGATACCGGATGTAAGGAGACACTCTGGTGGGGACACCTGATGTAAGGAGACACTCTGGTGGGGACACCTGATGTAAGGAGACACTCTGATGGGGACACCTGATGTAAGGAGACACTCTGATGGGGACACCTGATGTAAGGAGACACTCTGATGGGGACACCTGATGTAAGGAGACACTCTGATGGGGACACCTGATGTAAGGAGACACTCTGATGGGGACACCTGATGTAAGGAGACACTCTGATGGGGACACCTGATGTAAGGAGACACTCTGATGGGGACACCTGATGTAAGGAGACACTCTGATGGGGACACCTGATGTAAGGAGACACTCTGATGGGGACACCTGATGTAAGGAGACACTCTGATGGGGACACCTGATGTAAGGAGACACTCTGATGGGGACACCTGATGTAAGGAGACACTCTGATGGGGACACCTGATGTAAGGAGACACTCTGATGGGGACACCTGATGTAAGGAGACACTCTGATGGGGACACCTGATGTAAGGAGACACTCTGATGGGGACACCTGATGTAAGGAGACACTCTGATGGGGACACCTGATGTAAGGAGACACTCTGATGGGGACACCTGATGTAAGGAGACACTCTGATGGGGACACCTGATGTAAGGAGACACTCTGGTGGGGACACCTGAGGTAAGGAGACACTCTGATGGGGACACCTGAGGTAAGGAGACACTCTGATGGGGACACCTGAGGTAAGGAGACACTCTGATGGGGACAGACCATTATTAAAATTACTGGATAAAAACTGCACTTAGAAGCACCTTCTTGTCCTCTCTTCTCTCTCTCACCAGAGTCTGCCTAATACTCTCCGAAGTGCTGCCCAGTGCATTGTCCAAGTTTTTAGTATACCAGCTGTCATTTCCACGTTGAAGGTCCCCGAGGTAAATGCACCCTATAAACTCTCCACTCTGATGGGGACACCTGATGTAATGGGACACTATGATGGAGATAATTGATGTAAGGGGGTACTCTGATGGGGACACCTTAAGCAAGGGGAAACTCTAATAGAGACATTTGATGTAATGGGACACGTAATGTAAGGGAGCACTCTGATGGGGACACCTGATGGAACTCGGACAAGGAAACCTGCTTTAAGACGACACCTAATATGAGGGGTGTAGAATATAATTAATTTAACTTATAACAGACGTCTGTATTCTTTAATATTTCTGACTCCCCAAAGTCACATTGAAACTCAGCATTAGCTAGTTTTACCCCTTGCCTACCGAGCACTTATACCCCCTTCTTTACCAGGCCAACTTTCAGCTTTCAGTGCTGTCGTCGCACTTTGATTGACAATTGCGCGGTCATGCAAGATTGTACCCATATGAAATTTTTTATAATTTTTTTCTCACAAATAGAGCTTTCTTTTGGTGGTATTTAATCGCTGCTGGGCACTTTACTTTTTGCACTATAAACAAAAAAACTGCAAAAACTTAAAAAAAAAAAATTCTTTGTTTCTATTATAAAATTTTTCAAACAGATAATTTTTCTCCTTCACTGATGTGCGTTGATGAGGCAGCACTGATGGGCACTAATAGGCGGCACTGATAGGAAGCACTAATGAGGTGTCACGGATAGGCAGCACTGATAGGTGGCACTGAGAGACAGCACTGATAGGTGGCAGTGACTGGCATCACTGCTGGGCACTGACTGGTGGCACTGCTGGGCATTGACTGGCACAACTGCTGGGCACTAAGTGGCACAACCGCTGGGCACTGACTGGTGGCACTGACTGGCAGCACTGCTGGGCTGCACTGATGGGCACTGGTGGGTGGCACTGGTGGGCACAGGTGGGTGGGCACAGGTGGGTGGCACTGCTGGGCACAGGTGGGTGGCACTGCTGGGTGGCACAGGTGGGCGCACTGCTGGGTGGCACAGGTGGGCAGAACTGGTGGGTGGCACTGCTGGGCACCGATGATCAGGGCACTGATCATCGTGTCATTGGACATGGTTGATCACGTGGTAAAAGGCCGCTGTGATTGGCCTTTTACCACATCACGTGATCAGCTGTGTCCGTATGACGCCCTCCCAGAACTGGCCAGGCGCAGTGTAACCATCATTCAGCTATCTGCGGTTGGCAAGTAGTTAACATTAACCATGCGTGTGAATGGGCTCTGTAAGCAGGTGTTGGAGTGTACCATAGGATTTCATGGCTAAGAGGTCAGTAGGTCAAAGACTTCTCATCTCAAAATATATCACCTGGAATGCAGTAAAGAGCTAAAAAAAAGAGCTAAGTAATATGTCTTTTATAAAGAAAATCATTTCTAATCTATAATATAGTTAGTTAGTTATTTCATATAGTTAGTTAACGAATTAGTTAGGAATAGTGTGTGATAGTATATTCTCAGTTACTGATGATTATATTTATACATTTATGTGATCACTGTCCTTAAATTGAAGGTTGAACCTGTTTTACAAAGAATGAAGTTATGTAATCCTATAGTATGGGAAGATCACATAACAGTCTAACCTAACAATATTGTGTATTTCTGTCAACTGAAGTATTTTGCAAATAATGAAAACTAAGAACCAGGGGCGGACTGACCATTTGGAAACTCGGGCACTGCCCGAGGGCCTGGGGTCAGTAGGGGGCCCCATGAGATGCCCCTGGTACTTTTTTCATAGGCTTTTTTGAGTTTGGGCAAGGACACAGGGGCCCCATGATCCCCTATTGCCCGGGGGCCCCATGAGTTGTCAGTCTGCCCCTGCTAAGAACCATATATACTGTATGTTTAGAACACTTACGAGTATGGCTATTGCACATTTAGCTCACACTAAATTAGGAAATGGCTGTATAATGGGCTGACTTGTTTGGTACTTTGAAAAAGTATATCATAAACGACTCATGACGCATGCACGCACAATTTTGTTTACTTAAAGCGGAGCTCCACCCAAAAGGGGAAGTTCCGCTCCCCTGCTCCCCATCAAGGATTGGCACTTTTGGGGCATCCGAATTTGACAGGTACCGGCTCCCATTTCCAGTCCGATCACCTAGGCGATTGGAAGAGGAAAGGTGTCCTCCCCCCCTCCCTCCCTGTAGTCTTTTGGGACACATGACAGGTCTCAGACTACAGGACCATTCATGAAGCGCAGTGCTTCTCGCGCATGCGCAGTGGGTACCTGGCTGTGAAGCCGCAAGCTGTCACAGCCGGGTGCCCACACTAAAGATGCCGGCGCCTGGAATACAGGATGGCCGGTGAAACAGGCTGTGGGGTACACACCACGGGACCGAGGGACAGGTAAGTGGCTGTTATTTAAAAATCAGCAGATCGTTTTTGTAGCTGTTGACTTATTTTTTGATAAGTTTAGTGGAACTCCGCTTTAAGGCCTACAAGCCTTGCTACTCCAGCACCTGTTGTCTTCCCTGACAAGACTGAAATACTTTTCATTTGCTATTTCACAATAGAACGGCCAAGAAGTGTGACATTTTTCTACAGCTTATTTCACTTCTATAAGCTACAGCTTTTGTTATATTTTACTACAACTGATCTGTATTTTATTTTATCTTTTGTATTCATTTTATGTTGTTGCCAAGTGTGAATTGAATAAAAGTCACAGTTTTAAATCAGCCTGGCACTAGAACACTTTACCTAAAACGCCTAAGAAGGACACTTAAATAACATAAGGCTCAGTTCACACTAGCTTTGTCAGCAGGCGTCAGACAGGCAGTTGGGAAGCGTTTTTAACGCTTCTCAAACGCCTATGAAAATTCTACACTGAAGCATTGGCGTCGTGTCGCGTTGCCGCAAAACGAGTCAGGAGGAGTTGAAGCCTCCCATTCAAGTCTATTGTGCCACTCTGCAAACACCTGGCAGGCGTTTGCGGTGCGGTTTGCGGAGCGTTAATACCATTTAACTTCATTTTAGGCAGGGGCGAACTGACAACTCATGGGGCCCCTGGGCAATAGGGGATCATGGGGCCCCTGTGTCCTTGCCCAAACTCAAAAAAGCCTATGAAAAAGGTACAAAGGGCATCTCATGGGGCCCCCTACTGACCCCAGGCCCTCGGGCAGTGCCCAAGTTTCCAAATGGTCAGTCCGCCCCTGATTATAGGCATTTGTGGTGCACAGGGGCGGACTGACAACTCATGGGGCCCCCGGGCAATAGGGGATCATGGGGCCCCTGTGCCCTTGCCCAAACTCAAAAAAGCCTATGAAAAAGGTACCAGGGGCATCTCATGGGGCCCCCTACTGACCCCGGGCCCTTGGGCAGTGCCCGAGTTTCCAAATGGTCAGTCCGCCCCTGGTGATGTGGTTTTAATACTTGTGGAGCGTTTGAGGAGCATTAAAAATGCTTCCCAAATGCCTGTATAACACCTGTCAAACACTAGAGGGGCGTTTGGCAAGAGTTAGAAATAAAGTCAAATGTGAACGAGTCCTTAGTGTCACCATATTTAACAAGGGGCCACTCTGATGGTAACACCCGATGTAAGGGGGCACTCTGATGGGAACATGTGATGTAAGGGGACACATTAATCAAGACACTAGACGTAAGGGGGTACTCTAATCAAGACACCAGATGTAAGGAGGTACGATGAGGACAACCAATGTAAGGGGGTACGATGAGGACAACCAATGTAAGGGGGTACTCTAATCAAGACACCAGACGTAAGGGGGTGCTCTAATCAAGACACCAGACGTAAGGGGGTGCTCTAATCAAGACACCAGACGTAAGGGGGTGCTCTAATCAAGACACCAGACGTAAGGGGGTGCTCTAATCAAGACACCAGACGTAAGGGGGTGCTCTAATCAAGACACCAGACGTAAGGGGGTGCTCTAATCAAGACACCAGACGTAAGGGGGTGCTGCTCTAATCAAGACACCAGACGTAAGGGGGTGCTCTAATCAAGACACCAGACGTAAGGGGGTGCTCTAATCAAGACACCAGACGTAAGGGGGTGCTCTAATCAAGACACCAGACGTAAGGGGGTGCTCTAATCAAGACACCAGACGTAAGGGGGTGCTCTAATCAAGACACCAGACGTAAGGGGGTGCTCTAATCAAGACACCAGACGTAAGGGGGTACTCTAATCAAGACACCAGACGTAAGGGGGTACTCTAATCAAGACACCAGATGTAAGGGGGTACTCTGAGGACAACCAATGTAAGGGGGTACTCTAATCAAGACACCAGATGTAAGGGGGTACTCTAATCAAGACACCAGACGTAAGGGGGTGCTCTAATCAAGACACCAGACGTAAGGGGGTGCTCTAATCAAGACACCAGACGTAAGGGGGTGCTCTAATCAAGACACCAGACGTAAGGGGGTACTCTGAGGAAAACCAATGTAAGGGGGTACTCTAATCAAGACACCAGATGTAAAGAGAGTACTCTAATAAAGACACCAGATGTAAGGGGGTACTCTAATCAAGACACCATACGTAAGGGGGTACTGTAATCAAGACACCAGATGTAAGGGGGTACTCTGAGGACACCCAATGTAAAGGAGCATACACTGAAAATTGCCAATACATATGTAGCACACTGCTAGGAAAGCTAGGGGAGCTAGTTAATTATTTTTTTAGTTCGAGGCTGAATAGCAGCCTGTGCAATAGTCAGAAGGTCAAATCTGGGTCAGGTTTGAGACGCTCTGCAGATCAGTTCCTTGAAACCTCCCCCTGATGTAGAGATCTGGAGAAGTCTCTAGAATTCAGTGGGTGAGGATGAGGAGGAGCTGGTCTGCACTCTCAAGAAATCCTGGCCAATCCCCAAGCAGGAGGCTTGGCATGGGGTCAAGACAGCCCTTGAGGGTAGTTGAGCCTGCTCAGTTGCAGGAGAGTCCAGGTGGAAGATGGAGCGAGCAGAATGCAGTGTGTGGCCTGGGAGGGGGTCCAAGTGAGGGGCCTACCTACAAGTGGAGTAGCTGGAAGGGAGGATTTCTCAACCTCATTGTCCCCTGAGGGAGGACAGCCTGGGAAGCAGGGAAGGACCCAGCCCAGTGTAAGGCCTGGTCCATCCAGCTCTCCTATCTCTCTGCAACACTAGGATGCAATTTGCTAATTTTTTTCTTACCAAGTAAATTGTATGCATGCAGATCAGTGAGCAAAATTGAGAGTTTTCAATTCTGCGAAATTTCACCAACAGAGCTTCCTCCATATAAACCGAATTTCTTTTCAATGAATGGCCCTAGGTTTCTGCATTTTGCATATACGTCAATATGGAAAGCAGCACAACTCCCAATGCAAGTAACTGTAGTGACAGGAGAGTGCCCCATCTGTCTAATACTGCTCCCCGGAGATCCAAGACGCAGATGTTTGCATGATGCTGCAGTTCTCATTGTTTATGAATGGCTCTCAGTCTCAGCTGAAGATGAACTCCAGCCTTCCTTTCAGTCTTGCTCAGTTGTACCGGCTCCTCGTCTGGACTGAAATGGCTTCCTCTGATTTCACCGCACACTGTGAGTTTGTCACAATGTGCATTAGAAGCTGCAGCAAGTCAGACAGAGCCCACCACATTTCCTGGCTTGAGGATGTCCAACCCGCCAAGTAACACCTACTCTTCCAGACTTACCTCCTCCATCAAGGCATTTTTACATTTGCATAACTCTCCCCAAGATCCAGTCCGCAGCTTGCACCAGGGCTGAGTTCTTTTGAGAGGCGTACTGAGGCATGGTGCTGTGTTGTGTTCAGTGTACAGCACCCTGCCAGCCCCTTGCACCAGCAATGATCTGCCTGAATTGCATAGAGAAGAACAGAGACCCAGTCATTCAAAGTGTGATAGTGCTGAAAGCTGGAAATTGGTCTGGGCAGGAAGGGGCAGAAAGCGCCCAGTATGCAAAAACAGCTCAGACAGTGAAAGGGTTAAGCTTCAGCTTTAAGCTGGCCATACACTACCAGTTTTGCAGATTCCTTAATCTATGCACATGAGATGGATGGAGGAATCCCCTCCCCCCTGAAACATTGTATTTTGACAGTGGCACCTGATTGATCGAGGAAACTTTTCCAACATGTTGATCAATCAAATGATGGTGCAATGCACTTTGTATTGAATGTCAACATGCTTTGTAATACGCATTAGCGCAGGTTGATGCACATTGACCCGCAGCGTGATGTGTTTGTAGGAGTCATGATGCACTGACACACGGTTTAACATATGTGCTGCCATGCGCTTCGATGCATTTCCATTGATTTCATTGTGAAACGCTTCAAACAGCAATGCAAAGGTGTAAATACAGACATGATATATGCATCTTACTTGGCATCCTTTTCCTTTCAGAGGTCTGCTTCACATATAAGTGTTTTGCTGGGAAGTGTCATGGGAAATAGCTCAGGTACCCCCCCCCCCCATCCTCTCCATCACTACTAACAACGCCACCATCTCTCCCACCCCACACGCCAAAGTCCTGGGTGTCACCCTGGACTCCCACCTCTCCTTCCTACCCCACATCCAACTGCTATCTAGATCTTGCAGGCTCCGCTCCTCACAGGACCTCCTACTCTCTAGCTCCCTGGTCTCCTCCTCCCACGCCCGATTGCAGGACTTCTCCAGGACTTCCCCCATCCTCTGGAACTCCCTACCCCAATCCATCAGACTGTCACCTACCCTCCTCACCTTCAGGCACACCCTGAAAACCCTCCTCTTCAGGGAAGCCTACCCCAACCTCACCTAACACCCGACCTCACCTAACAACTAACCTCCTCCACTCCATCCCCCACAGCCATCTCCTCCTGTGCCGCCCTCCCCTCCCTCCTAGATTGTAAGCTGGAAAGAGCAGGGCCCTCGATCCCCTCGTGTATTGTATTGTTACGGTCTTGTCTCATGTTCTGTCCCCCTTGCTATTGTACAGCGCTGAGCATACCCTTTGGCGCTAATATATAAATACTGTATAATAATAATAATAATGGTTCGTGTTTTCATCCATTGGTGTGCGCTGAGGATCCGTAATCTTGGATAAATAATCATTGCAGCCTGGACATGAACTCACCTATGGTTTCTCCAGAAGCTATGGACTATGTCTTACCCTAGGTTCACACCTATGCATTTTCCAGAAACGCACAGAAGTCCATTTAATAAGATTTCCTATGGGACACGTTCACATCTCCGCATTTTCACCCGGTGCATTTTTTTTTGGAAAGGGTCAGGAACTTTTTTAAAAACGCAAAACGTTGCATTTTTAGTTCTATAGACTTCAATGGAGATGCTGCAGAAAAGCATGTAGTGCCTCTTTGATGTGTTTTTTATGCGTTTTATTCTGCCCAGCAACAAGTTAAAAAAAAAAAAAACGCATTAAAAAAAACGCAGCAAAAAAATATGTAAAAAATGCATGTGCAAAAATGCAAAATGCATCAAAAACTGCAGAAATGGATCAAACACAAACTGCATAGGTGTGAAGCTAGCCATAAGGCAGATGAAGATTGCGCAGTCAGCCATCAGAGTTACAGGATGCCCTTGCTATAGGAGGTGTAGGCCATTTACATACCTCCCAAAGTGACTGAAAACTCCCAGAGATGGCATCATCTTGTCCTGCCTTGCTGCTAGGACGCTGCTAAGACACACCTAGGAGGTTCAAAC